GCAGTAGTTGGAATAGGATGCAGTTCTTCTCTTCCTACGTACGTAGGGATTGTGGTTATTATTTTGAAAAATGCAATAGCTGTTACTTGTTACAGACTTCGGAGGCCTGTTATTTATGTGGATGAATTATATAAAAGCAGTATCTGCACAGATGCAAATTGTGCCTTACGTAATACTTGAAAATTAATTTATATGGAATTTTTCTACCGCTTAATGTAATGTGACAGCACGTTCAGTTTGACTGCATATGGAGCTTTGTTAAGACGGGGGTTAGGACTTCGTATGTTCTGATTTGTCTTAAAATTTTGGTAAAGCACGCTCAAATCTCTAGTTTTGTGTTTCTGTGTAGAAGTATGTGTACTGATGTGTGTGGGTATTAATACGTTTTTTTAAAAAAGTAAGTTTTATTGTCAAGTTTTCATAAAAACTTTTACTATCATATAGCTTCTGTAGAAATAAAACCATTTGTATTTTTGTCATTCAAATCTGTTTGGGTTTTGGTAGAATGCTATGATGACATTTGAAGAAGAGAAAATGCAACTGGCATGTGATGACCTGAAGGCTACAGAGAAACTTTGTGAAAGTGAAGAAGCTGGAGTTATAGAAACAATCAAGAATAAAATTAAAAAGAATGTAAGAAAATTATTTGTAAAATATGAAATTGTGTATCAGATAAAAATTTCTGGAAACTTCCTTTCTGTGCTCTGTATTTTGATTAGATGATTTTTGATATGTGAAGAGCAGTTGAGATTAATAATAAATTTAGAAATTAAGTCAAATATTTTGCTTGGATTTCCTAAGTATCATAAAATACTCAGAGTCAGGTAGTTCCTCTTCTGAAGCAGTGGGTTGTGTTGATGTTAGTAATTATTTTCTTAACCTCGAATTAGTGACCTACTAAAATTATTTCAGGAAGCTTGTGACCTGCCTAATTCAGGCTAACTTTAATTCATACATGCTCTGGTAATGTTGTAAAGTTGTGACGTTGAGGCTGTGTAGTGCTGTGTGCCAGGCATGTTCCTAGGGAATTTTTGTTCCTTTTTTAGATTTTTCATTCTAAATAATGAAGGAAGAATAAAGCATGCAGGTTGAGAACTAGTTAAAGTAGTAGTATAGAAACATCCAGTGAGTGGCCTGCCTAGTGTGACACAGCAGATCTACAGCAGAAAAAGAAGCCATTTCTCTTCAATATTTAGTTGACTTGATGAAAAGTATCAAACCTGACATACTTAACTCTCTGCTCTTAAGAGGCACTGTATTTTCCCTGTCACTTGTAATATACCCCTTTCTGTGCTCTTTCTATCTAACATCTTTTTGTTGAGTGTCTGATGCATTTAGTAATAATTAAATGAAATTTAAATCTGTTCTGAATATTCATAGAATCTTATGAAAAATAGCTGATAGCAAATGTGTAAGGTTTCCTGTTTATTAAGTAGGAGCTTGCTTGATGAGCTATCAAAGAACTTTTAGCATAGTTTTGCACTTCAAAATGCTGCGTTAATTTAGTAGCAATGCTACCACTTGCAGTTAATTTTGGATTTTTTTTAATTTGTCAGGTTTAAACTAGTATTCTGTATTATCTTTGTTAATATTTTTCTGTGCTTTGTGTTTGTATATTCCAAACAGGTTGATGGGCGAAAATCCACTCTATCCATGATAGATCGTCTACAAAGACAAATAATTGTAGCAGACTGTCAAGTCTACTTGGCTGTGCTCTCGTTTGTAAAACAAGAGTTATCAGGTGGGCTATGGCTTTAATGTTTAGATATATTTTTTGCATGATATGTTTTTAATAAAGCTTGATCATGAAGTGGCAAGATGAGTATCAGTGAAGATGACTGTTTTGTAAAAAAGAGCACAGTTCCATTTGAAACATTCTGAGATTGGTACACTTGCAGAGGTATTGTTCTACCTTTATGTAGGTAGTATTATCATAAAATGAGTTGGATTGCTACAGATTACAGCTTTCTGCTTTTTTTCTACCAATAGTCATACTCAACTGATTCTCCTTAGATAGGTTGGAATCCTTTGCATGTTCCCATAGAGGCATTTTGAGGAGTTGGTACAAAGATGGGTAGCATCTACATGCTTAATGTGGTCTGCAAGATAAAAGAGGCTGTAAGTTCAGGCCACTGGGAAAATTCTAATGTCCCATATGCATTATGCTCATGACAGCTCAGGGAGCTGACAAACTGCCAGTGAAAGTAATTTTAAATGAAGTGTGTTGAAGATGGAACTGCTGAATCAGCTCTTATTCTCTGGTAACCAAAATGTGTCCTTGCACACCAAAGAGGTTAATCCTGTCATGTTGAATACAGATCCTTGTCTCAGCTGCAAAGCTGTTTCTAATGTTCTCATGCATAATCTTAAAACATGCCTTCATCCAGGAGTTTATAGAAATTGTAGTCAAGGTCATATACAAAGCGAGCCCATTCCCAGGTTCTTACCAAATCAATGAAGACCAAGAGATGGCAGTCAGACCAGATTGTCAGTGGAAAACCCTGCTGATCAGCTGAAAGGAATCAGGGAAATAGCATTCAGATTATTTAAAATAACACTAAGATCTTCAGTCAAGGACATAATGCTTTCTGTGATGTGTAGACTTGGTTTCTTCCAAACCATGGCATCAAGAGTGTGTTTGGTTCTAGCTAGCAGAAATTCAGGGAGTATTTCTGTCTGCTGTGTGTGTAGTGTTGCAGAAAGGTTTTCTTACTATTTTTGATGCAATTCTGGATTTTCATTTGGGGGGGGGGGGGATCCCCCTCTTGAAGCTTTTTTTTCTTATTTCAGTATGTATTCTGCAGCTGCATAACTGGGTTGGAGGCTGTAACTGAGGGTGGTGTCTGTTCCCTTTCTCTCTTGTCTGCTGCTCAGAGAACTGAAGTGGGTAGCACAGTACTGCAGAACATGCACCATTTTTGCATTACTCTACTGAGTAAAAAACATACCTGAAATCTAGTTAAGGTTCTGAGTGGTCATATGGCACCTCAGTGACTTCTAGTTACTGCCGTTGCTGAACTGTAGGATCCTTTATTTCAGTTTCTTGAGTATATTATCTTTCTGATTATGTATAAACATCTTTTGTTTTTATCATGTTTCTGTACAGAAGTAGCAACCAGATTATTGAAATGAATTTCCATGTAATTTAAAAAAAAAAAAAAAGCATTCTTTCGAGCAGATGAATATTTCTCATCAGTGGATGGGTGAAAAATTTCTTGTGTTTTTCTTCCTGGAACAGTTTGACAAGAAGCATATGATGACACGCAAGCTGCTTTCTCATATGCCTAACACATTTTAGATTTTCCTTTTCATCCTCATGGGTGTATTAGAAATAGTTTCATCATAAAGTTAGTAACACAGCAATTTATGTTAACTTCCCACAGCAATATTGAACTACCTTTTCTTGATATTTACCACTGCTGTCATGTGTCTGACTACTTTCAGAAGTTCATACTGGAAAATCAGCTCAGTGATTGGGCTTGATTTAATTTTTATGTTTAAAAAGTCAGAAATTCATTCTTTTCATTTGCTAGATTGTTTTATCTTAATACAGTAAATCTATTAGGGTTATGCTGTGTTAGTGAACTGCTCATGACAGCACACTAATGGAAGTAAAGCCTAAAACTATACTTTTTTTCCACATCATATCCTTTCCATTTGGTGCATGCATCAGAACACAGTAGTTAGCTATTAGCAGAAACACTATCTGTAGCACAAGTAAAATGTGAGGTTTTCCTTATCGTTTGTCTGCAACATTGATATGCATAGCTGTATGAGCACTAATCTTGTGGTGAACCACATAACTTTTAAAATATTCTGTGCAGCCAAAAAGTGACCTAATTGCTTAAAGTTGAAGTAACGTTAGTTTTGTAATGCTGCTGAATCATGGCAGGGGTTTACATTTTTTATTATAACACTTTAATATGGAACGCAAGATAGAGGATTAATTTTTTAGTAGTTTAAGTTCATGTTGACAGAACCCTTCCGTCACAACTGAGAATACAAATTTTGCAGTCTTTCTCAGTGCGATTTCTTAAGACTATCAAACTAGCTTCATCCCCTCTTCATACAACAAGAATCCAAAAAGAGGTAGTCTAGTCCATGATGGTACTTTCTCCAGAAATCTTTTTTGTAATTGGAAGAATTCTGTCAAAGATGTCAAAGGCTTATAAAGAGTGGTTTGGTATTAACAGTGTTTTCCTTTTCTTTGACACACCCCACCTGTTACAGTCTAATTCTGGCATCAGTTATAACATCGATCTCTGCATATTTGGTGATATCTGTTTAGAACACTGCTGCTGTAACCGTGCTTTTATTTTATATCATTTTTAGTTTTTGTCACTGCAGTTCCTAATTCTCAGGGCTCTATCACAGACAAAATGCTGGTGTCTGCTTTTACAGTTAACGTGTGCAAATATATTCTGTGTAAATAGGCAAATTGGACATCTTGGTCTTTTGGTGTCATGCCTTTCTTCACCCTGCTGTAAAAAGGGTAATGAGACTGATAGTTCTCTCATTCTCAAGTGAGAATGCTCAAGACCAGTGTTTTAGGGAAATTGAGGTACCCAGCTTACATTTGAAATTGAGGAAGTTAGGCAACTGAAAAATATTGAAAAATGTAAAATTCATGCATTCTTTTATTTTTTCTTTTATTTTTTTCCTTTTTTTTTTTCTTAATTATAAGGCCGTATATGTGTTCATATGAGGGGCAGGGAAATGATGATGTTGAAAATATTACTGTCTAATCCAAGAGAAAGGATTTTCTAAGTATTTTCCCATCAATTGTCTTTTAGCATCATTTGGGTTTAAGAGGTGTAATCTCTTTGAGTTTTGCTTTTCTCTGTTTGCCAGGCAGTTGTTTCATCTCCACTCTATAGTGGAGCAGAATCCAGCATTAAGTTCTTTGCTTTCTCTATTTTTTTCTGACAGTTATATTGCTACATACCTGAAGGGAAGTCCCTTTCTATTGCATGCTGTTTTAAAGTCTCTGGTTGAAAAGCACTTAAGTTTGTAGTGCCCAGTATGAAAGACCTCTTCAAGACGATGGTAGTGATTACAAAATCCTTTATACGATATGTTAATGCAAATAGAGAGAGCATCCTAGGATTTGTGAAATAGCATTTACTACTTACTATGTTCCAATTCTGAAATATGCCCTTGAAATATTTTTTTTCCTTGATTTTTAGCATACATAAAAGGTGGGTGGATACTCCGAAAAGCCTGGAAAATTTACAATAAGTGCTATACGGACATTAATACACTTCAGGAAATATATCAGAAGAAAACAACTCAGGAATCCTTGACTTCTGATGCTGCAAATGATAATCATATTGCTGCAGAAGGTGTAACGGAGGATTCGCTAAACAGACTGAAAGGTGCTGTTAGCTTTGGATATGGACTTTTTCATCTTTGCATATCCATGGTGCCCCCAAACCTGCTCAAAATCATCAACCTGCTGGGTTTTCCTGGAGACCGCCTACAGGGGCTTTCTTCACTGATGTATGCAAGTGAAAGTAAGGACATGAAGGCCCCTTTAGCTACGTGAGTAGCTATATTGAAATGCTTTGGTAGATAACTTAGTACTGAAAGTAAGTAAATCGAAAAAAGTCAAAACCAAAAAGTCATGTTGCTTTAAAGGAAACAACAGCAGGTAAAATAAACTTGTAGTTTGTTGTTTAACATGCCATGGTTTAGTAAATTCATCACTTACTAGTATGTGAGATCTCTCTGCTGTTATTTACATGTATTTGGGGTTTGTGTCAGTATTTTGCTGTATTCTTCAGCACCTGCTGTTCTAATGTCTAGTAATTTGTATGCCAGCAGAGTAAATAAAAGCACCCCCCAAAGGCTGAGTAAATTTACCTGAGTTATATTCTCTGCTATGGAGAGCATACTATTTTGTATGAGTCATTGATCTCGCTTAGCTGTTTATCTGTACTATTAGCCAAAGATCTTTTCCAGTTTTATTTTTAATTTTAGCATCTGAGTAAAATGGGATGTTCCCCTTTTTGGTCTTTTTAGAGGAGTGGGTTTTTTTGTGTACTCTTTTTTCCCAAGCCTTCATACTGCATTCAGGTCTTTTTATCAGGTGAAGGGTTAGCCAGACCTAATTTAAACTGCCCTCATAAATGCATTTATTATTCCATTATCTCCAAATTAATGCTTTTATTACTGGACCTACTGCAGGTACCATCAGATGTCACTTTTGAAACATTGACAGCAGAGCTAAAGTCTCTTCTGCTTGAGGAGAATTGGATTTCTGATCTGTTAAGAAAGCTTGAGATTAAATGTTCCTTTTGATTTTTCTTTCTCCTTTCTGGGAAAGAAAAATGATGTTTTTTGGGGGTGTTTCCTCCTTCACATGGTCTTGGAAATCTTTGTGCTCTGCCCTTGTTTCCAGGAGTGATGTAGGTCATGTAGATGTCTGCCCTTCTGAACACTGGATGTATTTCTGTTTGACATTGATTTCAAGCGTGTCTGCTGATGTGTATTTAGTTTTGGTGTTGGTTTTTTGTTTGTGGTTGTGGTGGTTTTTTTTTTTTTTTCCCCCTCTAATGAACAATTAGTTTCCAAAGTTTTCCTGTGGGTTTTTCCTTTTTAAAATCTGTAAGAGTTCTAAAGGCTCAAGTGCTTTGATGATGAGAGCTTGATTGCTACTTTACCTTTGGGTAATGTGTGCTGAATTGTATGTTCAGGTGTGGCTTAGGAGTACATTGATATATGGCAATAGTATTGTGTTTGCTTTAAAGCCAGGTTGTACAAGAAAAGATTAATATCTTTCTTTGTCTTTAAGAATCGTTTAAAAATTTGCTTGTATAGAATGTTATCCTTAAATTTCTGTTTACGAGCTGTAATCTTTTTTACTCTTATGTTTCTTTTAGATTAGCTCTGTTGTGGTACCACACAGTTGTTCGTCCCTTTTTTGCCCTTGATGGCAGCGATAACAAAGCAGGATTGAAAGAGGCAAAAGAAATTCTTGCAAAAAAAGAATCTGCTTATCCAAATTCTTCTCTGTTCATGTTCTTCAAGGGAAGGATACAGCGATTAGAGGTATTGCATGTTTTCTTCCTTTTGACTGGTTTCTCTTCTCCTCCCTTTGTTATTTTATGTTTTTCTGAGGTGAATGAACTGTGCAAGCTTCAGCAAACTGTGACTAAAGATATAGATACATGGAAAGATAAGTAAGAAAAAAGGATTAACTCCTTGCTAGTTTCAAGTTCACATGCCAAACCTGCTGTTCCACTACTTCTGTCTGAATTAATGGCACTTCGAAATTCTTTTTCAGCTTCTTGATACATTTGTAGCTCTATGCTAAAAGGAAGTGCTTTTGGTCACTCATGAGTTTCTTATGGTATAAATAGCTACTTCAGTTTTGCTTGTCAAGCTAAAATCTGAGTTTATCTGCTGAGTACATAGCATTTATCTTCCCCTTTTCATTTTATGCATTGTTCATATACAGCTAACTCTTTGCAATAATTTCCCTCAAATAACTGCCTTCGCTTTTAAGAGGTCAAACCAGGATGTTTTCTGTTGCTAAGGGTAAGCTCTGACCCAAGCAGAAATGTATTCACTGAAAATGTGTTTGTGAATGCTGTTGCAGAGTGTTAGTCAAACAATGCAGCAGCCTCATGGTTTTTGACTGAGTTATGCTTTAAGAATCTGTGATAACAGAAGATGGTGGCGAGTACTTTAAACTACTCAACTCCTGGCTGCTGCTTTTATTAGACCAGAATACTTCCAGAGTAATTACATTAACAAGAAAACCCAACACAAAAGCATAGGCCCAGAATGTTCAAACCCTTCATCTCAACATCATAATTACAAGAGCTAATCCAGATCTTAATATTGATGGTTGTTCTTTTGCTAGGGTTTGCAGTTAACTCTCTCAAATATGCCTTAATATTTTGAGGGAGGTAGCAGCAGTAACAGAACAGAGGGGCAGGTTTCAGGGGTCTATCGGATTTTGCAGGCATATTCTTGCATGGGATTTGAATGTTGTTTTTCTTTTCTTGCTGTCTTTCTGAAAGCAACTGCATTTGGGGAATTACACTGTCACAGGCAAGCTGTCAGTCTTTGCGAAGTATTGCTGTTTTCTGAGTGGGAAAGATTTTAATGGTCTTTGTTCAATTCTATATTCCATTCTTATGGTAAAAATAAAATTTGTTAGGAATAGCTACACAATGAATACAAGTGCAGTTAAAAATGTAAATATGTTGATTGCCAGAGTGTGACTTGGTATTTGGAATTCTTCCCCTCCCCCTATTTAGTGTAATGAGGAATAAAATTCAACTGATTCTTCTGACTTTCAGGGCAAGCTAGGGCAAAATTGTAAACATAAGTTGTCAATAAACTGGTTATATATTTCTATATGTAAATAGAGTGGATAGGTTTTGGGAGTGTCAGTTTTGTGTAGTCAGTCCCCTTTTGGAGTACCGTTACGTTTCAAAGCAGAGTTCTTCACGTGCTATCTTACGGTATTTGTGCATTAAATGATGCGGTATATAGACACCGAAGTTTAGCTCCAAGTGAAATAGTTTGTGCTGGAGACAACATGGCCATGTTAATGAAGTTAGTTTGCTTAGGGAGGCAGAATGCTGTGCATTCTGCTGTGTAGCCATACTTCAGTCAGCAGAAAGCTTATTGGTTGCTAACAGGAATTCAAGTGTTGCTTTGCTGTTCGTGTATTTGTTTGCATGAGAGCTTTTCCATTCAGCAGCCTCTTCCTCCCTGACCCCCCCTCAATTGCTTTGTTGTGAGTGGTGCTGTATCACTGACGCTTTGCTGTGTATAAATCTTCTGGCTAAATGTCTCAAGCTCTTCTGTAGACTCTGTTAGGAATTTAGAAGCTTAATTTGCTCAAATGTTGTTGATGTAATAGTAAAGGCAGATGTGTGACTGGTGGCAATGGATTGGGGAGCTGCACTGGATTTCTGCACAATACACTTATGGTTACATCTGTCTCCAATCTGGGCGTTGGTCTTAGAGCATCTATTGTATGTTCTGAACCAGAAGTGCACATATACTCTTAGATTACAAACTAACACACTGGGTTGTAAATTCTGCCTCATTTCCAAGGTGGGTGAGGAGAGCTCCTGCAAAGCCTGGGAGGTGCTTATATGGCCTTCCTTGAAACTGTTAATACACAGGTAGGTTTAAATTCTTTCCAATAGGCATGGGAATGTTATTTTCAGATGGTTTACTGAAATTGGGAAGTCTGTGCTTTAACCTATATGCACTTGCATACCTTGAGCTGTACGTTATGTATTTTATAGTCTTTAACATCTGTCATCTGTTAACAGTTCTATGATAAAATTTAATTGTCATAGATGAAAGGCAGTTTAGATGTTGTTATACAAAAGCACTGTGTGTTCTGGAAGTACAGATCAGTAATGGTCATTTTAGGCTTTGTATTAGAGTCTACTAGCACTCAGCCCATCGGACTTTTTTTTATGGCCTTTGGTCCTACATATGTTTTGTGTAATTTTCAGCTGATGGTATATCCAGCTTCCATTAGCAAGTCTGCATACACCTATATGTCTGTATTTGTGTGTGTTTTCTTTTCTATGGAGAAAAGAAACAGTAAGGAGCATAGTTCAGCCATGGACACCTGGAGGCAGGGAAACTGTTCAAAAGGCAGAAGCAGTAATGCAAGACTGGACAGTGAGACACAAATCTGACAAAGAAAAAAATTGCCAAGGAAGGCAGTCGAGGAGAAAGGAAGATTTCACAGTGATAGTGCTATGAACGACAAATGAAGAGCATGTGACTGTATAATGCTTTGTGCACCAAAAAGCACGTATGAATATTAGTCAGTAAAAGCCTTAACAGACTTCGGTTTTCTAAGAAGTAGCCTTGCAGGTGCTATAAATGTGGACCAAATTATCTTTCAACTCTTTTCCCAGATTCACTTTTTTGAGAAATGAAGTCTGAAAGCATTTGGAGACTGTTGAAATAAGTGAGTTGAGGAAAGGAGAGGAGGAGGATCTGGGAAAGCTGGAATGAAAGTGCACCAGAAAGTTAAAGGTTGCACTGGTAGGCTGATCAAATGTCTCTTCCCCTCTCGCCCCCCACCCCTCCTGTTTTATTTCTCTCTCTCCAAAGTGTAGATTAAGAGACTGCATATTAAAAGTAGCATTTTTCCTGACTTTTACATAATTCACTTAAGCTGTTTTAGTGGACATAACTATTGTTGTGCTTGATTTGTGATTGTATGGTGTGTATTCCAGCCTCATAAGTATTTCTTTGTGAATGTTTGACTATTTCTATCTTTGAAATACTTTCCACTAAAGCTGATAATGACATTTCATGTAAGCTTAAGCTGCTAAAAACAAGTGAGAATAGTGTTTTATACTTGTTCTTAAAGGGTACTTAAGAATGTAATTAGTATAATAGCTGCTGAAAACCACTGGTCTGAAATCCAGAGTTTCCAGCTGTACTCTTGGGCCTTTCTTATTACTGTGAAAATAAAAATATTGCCATCCATTTGCTAAATGCATATTGTCTAATATTATAATTATGTTAATAAATACCAATTTACTTTTGAAACTGTGACTTAGACTATTCAAGTGTGGTATTGTGGCCAGTAGTGAAAGATGGGCATGGTGGTAGTGTGGGAGAGGGCAGAGTAAAAAGTGTTCTGAATCTTTCTGCTTTTTAGCTTGCAATTTTGCTTTTTCTTTTTTTTCCTAATCAGCAACACTTTTTTTTTTTTTTTTAAATCTCCATCTGCTTTTTTAAATAGTACAAATCACCCCCTTCAGAGATAGTTAAATAGATTGACAGCTTCATATGGAGAGCAGTAAGGGTGTAAAGCAAAAATAAAGTATCTGACAGAATTGTGAACTGGGCAAGATTGCTTCTCTTTGATTGGGAACAGACTCTGGGTGTGTATATATAAACAACAAGAAATCTCTGGGGCTGGGACCAAAAGCTCAGGTTCCGAGGCTTGATCTGTAGAGTTCAGTTGATATAGGTGCATGTTAAGAGTCTGAAGGAAAAAGTACCAAATACTCCAGCTGACAGGCAAAACACCAGTGGTACATACAAGTGTGCTACAGTGTCTGATGTGCAGGCTGGTGAAAATGTGCAGTGGTATTGCGGACTTAAATGTAATGCTGACAAGTACTCTTGCTTTTTTAGTTACCTTTTGTAGACATCTTGGTGTCAGTGGTATCATTCTTATTTAGGGGTGGGATGGAGAAGTAGACTGAGGGCAAGAGTAATAATAAGCATTGAAAAGTCTCAAATTAATTTAAGTCTTTAATTAATTTTCTGAAATAAAGTCACAAATAATGTCTTAAGAAATTTTCAGAGCTTGCGTAATGTCAAGGTTTATTTTCAGGAAATGTGCTGGCCTTCCTAGTTACTTGCTTTAGGCTATAAAATACAGAGTCCTAGTTTTACTGTATTTTGATTTTGTGGCATATCTAGGGAAAAATGTGGAGGGGAGCGATGTTAAGGAATAGAAAATACAGGCTTTGAAATTTCCATATAGTGTCCTCCAGTGTAAATTGTCCCCTTTTAGATATTGTTTCCTGGTTTCCCCTTAATTATGAGCATGACTTCTTAAAGGCTTTACAAATCCATAGTGCTAATCGAGAACAGAGAGGTCCTAGGAGAGGGAAAGTGTCCTGAGATTTCAGAACAGCTCTGTGGGGAAATGTGTGTTGGCTCAGGAAGCTGCCTTGGCTTGGTGAGCTCTGTAGATGCTTAGTTGGTGGGTTGGGGTGGTTTTGATTTTAATCTGAAGTCAAGAAATGTAAGATTATGGTTCTCACATTAACTTGAATAATCCTCTTTATGATTGTGTAGTTCTGTATAGTACACACTTTATAGATTAATCTTTTTTGTCTTTGTATTATGTCCAAGAGAGGCATGAGTGATGCTTGTTGAAGGAATTACGTGTGTGTGTGTGTGTATGTAAATCTCAAGAACATCAATTTTAAGTGTCAGCCATGATGTTATACTTGCAGACTCTTGGGACTTTATAATTCTTTCTGTTTATTCTCTAAAACAGTAAACAGATAGTAATTAATTTTAAGAGTTAACACTAAGAGTAGAAATGCATAGTTCAGCATGTCACAATCCCTAGAGATGATTGAAACTTTAATAAGGAGTATCTCTGAAACATACTTACTGAGCTTGGTGCTTCAGGAAAACTTAGGCAGATATCAAAACACTTGAGAGATCTAGACAGTTAGAGAAATGGATTATAGAAGATTTAACATTCAACTAACTGGACTTGTATATTACTAGGTGGTCAGTGTTTGATGTGCTGCTGCAGGCCGGTGTGTGGCATTGCAGACAATGTAATTGCCATTAGTCATTGTGTGGAATAACATGCCCTGCAAATAGGTGATCTATATTTTCAAATGTTTAGGGTTTTTAGGAGGCAAAGTATCTTCACAGAGGACTAAATATTTAGATCCCCCCCGGAAGCATTCAAAACATAGATTTACTGAACTTCTAAACTTCTTAGCACAAAGATAAAGTTTTAAGCCAACATTATTTTATTTTTTCTGTAAGACTGGGCTCAAAACACTTATTTTCCAGGAAGTCATGTTGGGGTGATGCAGCATCAGTGGAGTATTGTGTAGTGGAGAGAATGTGCTGCTACAAAAGTAAACAATGCGTACGTTGCTCAGGCTCCTGGTAACTTTGAGGGCAATTATAACTCGCCTGTCTTTCTGTGTAGTATATTCTTCTGTTATGCCAACAAGGATCTTAGTCTAATCACTGTTTTATTTTCTAAGTGTACGGTGTTTATATTGGTACAGCTGTGGATCCCTTTGCTGGCAGTTGTGCTGTCTTGATGCAATATATATGATTTACGGTTAAATTGTTCCTTAGCAACTAAACCAGTTTTCCCTGATGATACAAAGAAGAAAATCTTATAAAATCACTTTAGAGCTCTCTGTGTGTGTGGTTTTAAGATACAATGCTGCAGACTTTTGCAGGAATTTTTGAATTCAGTTATGCTTGCGTAGATGACAGGTTTGCTTTTTCAAGGGTTTCTTTCACTTACATGCATAGCCAGCAGAGAATGGCTTAAAGATTTTTCTGTTGTATAATAATAATTGTATGTGAGAGTAAATATAGGAACACTATTAAAGTGGGTATAGGCCATATTGGGATATATAGTGTGTCTGTGTATAAAACTAATTAAATGTTGATTTGCATCCCTCCCTTTATGTTGATTGCTATGGAGAAGTCCCATCCTAGACTGGGAAAACTAGAAATTAAGGTAGTCAAAAGAACTACTGTTCTAGTTCTTACAAAACTGTCAGCCTCTTTTTGCTAAGCTGTTGGTAACTAATGATTTTATCAGACTGGTTTTTTTATCTCATGTGCCTTATTATCTTCTTACATGTCATGCAGCGTTTATGAATTCTCTATTAACTCTTGCTTAAAGTGGTTACTGAGGGATGTGGAAAAAGGTGAAATAGTTCAAAATAAAGATGACTAAACATTAAAGATACCTGTATTGTACAGAAAGCTAAACTTTATTAGCAGATGCTAAAAATACAACTTTTAAAGGTGGAATGACTAATAAGAGTAGAAATGTGATTACTCAAATTTCTACTGCACAAAGCCAATGAATTTCAGACTTAATAGCAAAATGAAGGAATACAGGCACTGATTTTGAAGGTTGAGAGATGATCTGAACTGGCTGTAAGTTACTGGTGATCATTATTACTTTATTAAGCTCTTCTAGTAGAAAGAGAAGAAGAAGCTGGGAAGCTGGCCAAAGGAATTGCGATGTGGAGCTGGTATATTGAATTAATATTAGCTCTGTGGTGGGTTTTAGCTCATTTAAAATAATCTAGAGTCTGAAATGAACTTGGAGGTTTTCCTCTCAATGGGATGTTGTGCCTCTTTCATCTAATCAAACCAGAGGCTGCAATCTGTAAGACACTTCATTTTTTTTTTTTTTAAATTTTTTGACCATATAGCTATTTTAAATATCTGTTAATAGAAATCTGAATGTTTTCTTTATCAAAATGAAATTATCCAACAAATTTTAAATCTTGGACATCTGAATTTTTTCTTCTTTCGCTTTTGTTAGTGTCAAATCAATAGTGCCTTGACCTCATTTCATACTGCTTTAGAACTTGCAACAGACCAAAGGGAGATTCAACATGTCTGCTTATATGAAATAGGTAAGTTGGATGTGTTTTTATACTATAAATAGCCGACTTTCAAGTTTAGACTAGCAACTTCAATAAACAAACTGGATTATTTTTATTAGGATTTTAAAAAAGGTTTTAGAATCCTGGCCTTTGTCTTGGATGGATTATGGTAATAATCCTGTCGTCTTGCTTGGGCAAGTAGAATTCAACAATTTTTCATAATTTTAAAGTTTTCTGCAAATACAAGGTGATGCAAAATCAGAGTACACTATAGAATCAAGGGCAAACTGTTCACCTACAGAATATTATTTAAAATGAGAAATTAATCTGATTTTTCTGTGGAATCACCATTTCTGTGCCAAAAACTAGTTGCTCTAGTGAAGCTGCACAGTTTGCAGGACCTATATTTCATGCTCATTTCCTTCTATCAATAGCAATATATGCTATATGTTCTTAATTTGCATACAAGTCTTTAGAGTGGAGAAGATATGTTGCTTCATGCTTTAAATGTGTCTTGTTAAGGGATCTTGTCACAGTGCGAAAGAATAAGGGAGCAAGTAGTAGCTTTGTAAGTTTCAGCATCCTACAAAATATAGTATTTAAATTTAAAAAAAAAAAAAAAAAGGCTTTTGGTGTCCGTATACATTTGTTATTGCTCTGAAGTGGATTCATTGTTTTGTATGGAATCTTATAATTCAACATTTCCCAGTAAATTTAAACCAGACTTTAAATGTATGTAATTGATTTGTTTTGGTTTTAACTTTTCCAGTCATTGTTATATTTGTTAAACTAGCTCCAGCTCTCATAACAGTCTGTGTGTTTCAGTAATGTTGACACCAAATTTGAATTACTGTGCTTTCTCTGAAGTGAAATTGGTCTTGCTTTTAGGTTGGTGCAGCATGATAGAGATGAATTTCAAAGATGCGTTTGAATCCTTTGAAAGGCTTAAAAATGAATCCAGGTGGTCCCAGTGCTACTATGCTTATTTAACAGCAGGTGAGTATATTCAGTGTGTTGGATAAGTGATAAATCAGTGATTTGATAAGGTTTTGGCACAGTTTTGTTTTGGGAAACTTACTAGGGCACATAGTGCCTTCCTCACTACCTGCTGCTTACGCAGCTTTATGCCAGACTTGACTTACATAATTTTGGTTTTGTTTTTATAATGTACACTTGCATGCCTGCACCTGTACATGCATGTGTGTGTACATGGACACACACCCCACACCCCCCCCCAGATGTAGATACAATTATGATTGTCAGTGTAGTGACAGCTCATATAACAGTGTATTGCAAAGATTTAATAAATAAATCCTTAGAGGTTCGATGGTATTAGTTCCTGTAATGGGTACAAAAAAGAAGTACTGTCTTGTTTATGATCATAGAGGGTAACTGGGAGAGTTGGGATTTGCATGTTTGTTAAATCCCTAGTCTAGATCCTTTCTGGAAGTGTGTTGTGTTTTCTTGTGACCGTATTGATATTTAATGTTAACTTTTCCTGTTTCATATCTGAGTAGTGTTAACATATTTTTGTTTCTGTATTCTTGCAGTATGTCAAGGAGCTACTGGTGATGTCAATGGTGCTCAGAATGTGTTCAAGGAAGTTCAGAAGCTTTTCAAAAGAAAAAACAATCAGATTGAACAATTTTCAGTGAAAAAGGTTTGGTTTAGCATAGGCTGACTTGTTTCAGTACAGTAACTACACTTGGTAATTTGTTGGATTCTTTACCAGTATTTATTTTTGAAGGATGTGTCTGTTTTCTGCTGTGCTGCTTCTGTAGAATTAGTGGGAAGGGTTCAGATGGAAAAACAATAGTGTCATGTATTTTAAGGACCTAGCAAAGGAAATGTGAATTAGCTATTCACTTTACAACTGAAGTAATTATTAAAGACACATTACACTGTAGTTGCTTTGGTAATTTTCCTTCTAGCTTTGCCTTTCTTACTCTTTTTTATCTTGTCTCGTTTGTCAAAGCCTTAGTTCTTTTTGAAAGCCAGGAGTTTTCTAGGAAATACCTCCCAACCGATGATCTTGCAGATGTTACTGTTTCACTATCCAGTCAGGCTATACTTGGGATTGTGAAACACAATAAAACAAATCAGGCTGTATACAAGGAAGCTTTAATTTCGATCAATATGTAAGCCCTTATATTAATTGAAAGATTTTTCTTTTTAGTCTTAAAGTCTTTAAACTAAGTTACCACCAACTTTATTTTCATAAAATTGTTGGACGCTTTCATGAAACAGTTAGAATTACTGTTTGTGATACATTGTTTGTGAATATTATGTTCCCTATAAAAGGACAGATGACAGATCTCCCTTCCCTCTTTCTCCCCACTTTGCAGGCAGATAGATTTAGAAAACAAATGCCGACCAAAGAGCTCTGTGTCCTGGCATCCATTGAAGTATTGTACTTATGGAAAGCCCTTCCAAACTGTTCCCTCTCGAACTTACAGCATATGAGCCAAGGTATAATATGGTTCCTTGATTTATTTATGTACTTTTTTAAATGAGGCGTATAATTTTATTCTGTTGTGTGGAGTAGCTGATTGTTGTAGCATGAAAATTTAAACCTGCGTGCATGTGTCAAAGCAAACTAGTTTGAGTAACAAAAGAATAATGACCCATTATGATTCAGCTTAATGCTTCCTTTTTACCATTTTTGTAGGTTTTTGGGAGAAGTTTAACTGCCTGCTGCATATAGTTGTTTTTTAGTTCTAGTTGTGTTTGCCTATTGTTTAAAATGAAACAATAGTGTGATAGTTATTGTTCAAAGACACTAAGCAACATTTAACTCATTTAAACCTAGCTACAAAGTAAAAAAATAAATCTACCAATTCATTTCTGCATGTCGGTTTTATTCTAAGAGGAAATATGTAGCTTGTGAGGTCATCTGTGACATGATATGGGTTCTGTTTATCTTGGCTGCTGGGACCATCTTAGTGGTGAAAGGAGCATTTTATGGTTGCTTCTTTCTTAGTCTCCCGATGTCTTTGGACGTCTGTCACATGAACAGTGTTTATCATGAAGTTTTCAGTACTCCTCCCTCCATCCAGTGATCAGTGTCGTTTGCATTCTGCAAAGTTTGAAGCTATTACCTGCTTATTTAGAAAATAAAACAAAAAATGTCCGCCACCGAGATACTTCCTTTTTTTCTGTAATTGTGACATTTTCAGGATTGTACATGATTTTTATGTTAAGCTAGAAAACTACCAGTCTTTAAGTCAAGAGTCAGGACTAGTGGGGTTTTTGTTCTGTTTTTAGTTTAAGATAATTTGTCTGTTTAAATTGCGTGATGGCAGTTGGTTACGTTCAGATCCTGAGTTTTCTAGTACCAAAGATAATGGTAAAGGCTTTAAAATTAGATTTACTTACATAAAAATAATTTCAGGAGGTTTTTTTTGTCTGTCATTTGCCTTCAGAACAACCAGCTTTAGAGGTTGTAAAGAGTATGTACTTCTCTCCCGCATCCGCAGAAGCAATGTAGATCTTCCTTGTGTAAGCTTCTAGCCAGTGGTTCACATTTTAATGTGAAATAGCAGTATAGATTAAAATTCAGAAATATGCTTCTTGTTAGTATGACACTGAAAGGTGTGTCTGCATCAGCAATCCCTGGTTGAAGATTTTCTGCACGAGAGTGCTAGTGCTGCGCCTTATGTATATCTCAAGAATGATGAGATGATAGGGGACTTTTTTTTTTTTTAATTTGCTGCTTCTTTTGAACATTTGGAGTGTAATTTGCTGGGGTGGGTTTCCAGGCTTTTCCTCAGGGCTAGAACTTGACTTAAAAATAAAGTTATTAATTTGTATGTACATGCATCTCTAAGTAAAATGCAAAGTAACTTGAGACTTGCAATACAAGCAAGAGTTGACAGCTTTGTGTATTGTGTAATGTCCAAATACTTCATGCAGCCAACTCTTAGTTATTCATAGGTGGCTTATTTGGGTTGTGGATTAACTGTGTGGAGAACGCAGAGCTAGTTAAGATCTGGTAGAGTTTGTGAGATGAGGCAGAACGTGAAGTCAAAGGAGCTCTACTGCTCCAGGCACAGCAGTTCAGCTCCTTCTGAAGGGATGAAAAGCCATGCAGGTCTCCCTGTACCCCGGCCTTTCTGGAGGTGATGGTGCAGAAAAGTGCAAATGGCTCCTCACGGAACTAGCCTTGATTTAACAGAGCTGGCACTAATAAGCTTGATCAAAATGGAGCCTGATTCATCTAGAGCTGGTTACATGCATCATGATTCAGTTCTTTCTGGAAACAGAGCACTACTCAGCTGTGGCACAGTCTGTCCCTGGATTGTGGACCAGCTAAGGTCTGGCAAATAAGCCTTATCCTGTCAGCATTGAGAATTGTGATGCCAAAATACCCTCGTCTGGGTTTTTAAGTCCGGTACAGATTTTTGTGTGGCTATCACTTGGCTTCAGTTCAAAGCAAATCAGCTTTGTCTGAACTGCTTGCCCTGTGCTCCTTGTAACTTGGACTATGTATTTTTCTTTCAATATATGGGACAACCCAGTTTCCCATAACACCAGGAGGTAGTGATTGTTTCTGAACTTTACCTTTTAGTGGATATTTCAAAGACTAGTAGAGAAAGGGATTCTTCTCTTCTTGTGAGAAGAACACACCAACTGCCTTTGACTTCAGCCCATTCATTCCTGTTAGGAATTGTTCTCATGAGTGACAGATTGCTTGATGAGGTTCATACAAAATGGGTTGTATTTAAAAGAAACCGCATTACTTGGATTTATATTAATGTTACTAGCATCTCCTTTTTCTGGTTAAATTTAATCATCAGACTAAAAGTCACTGTAGACCACAATTCTTGTCTGAAGAAGGATTTCAATCCATCTTGTTTATTTACTGGAATCTTTTACATTAAGCTTGTCAGGATGTCGATGATTCATCGGCTGTTGGTTTGAGGAATTTGCTTCTTGGTGCCATACATAAATGCTTAGGAAATTCTGAAGATGCTGTTCAGGTAAGTTGTTATGTGATAGTTTACACCATTAGTCCTATTTTATGAGCTATTCTGTTAAACGGTAAATATTGTTGAGTAACACGGTAGCTAAAGTGGCTTGTAGGAGCAAGAGTTAAGGGGAAGCTGGGAAGAAGAATGGAAAAGTTCTTGGCTCTGCTGGATTTACTTTGTCCAACAAAGAAAATTCAACTTTAAAAAAAAAAAAAAACCAAACAAAACAAACCTTGGAGATTGACCTTTCAGAAGCATGGGTTTGCTGCTTCTCCTCCAGACCTGTTAGACACTGAGAGGTTTGATTATTAACACATACAAAAGAATAATTTTGCCACTGCTCCAGGCTTTGATCTGTAGGCACAACTTGCCCCCTTCCCTGCCCCCCGCAATAGAATGCAACTCACATAAGCAACAAGGGAGCTGATGCTGGCTTTAAATCTTTCTCTCCGCACCCTGCCCCCCCCCACCACCC